GGGCATCAATAACTCTGCTCCCGAGTCTATGGAAAATGGCTTTCGCCCGATCGGATCGTTCACCCCTCCTCAACCCCCTTCTATATGGACCCTGGAGTTCGTGTATCCTCCAAGCAAAAACCGGGACCATCCCAGCACAAAACCAAACCTCTTGCTTGCTGTCAGCAGCTATACTATCATCGTCTCTTTCGTTTGTGTTTTAGCTATTCTCATTTTACATCCTTCCTTCGTCACCAGACATACTCTCGTTCCATAAATAATTCCAAGTAAGTAAGCCTAGGACGCGGGTAATGCCTCAGTCGATTTAAATATATCAAAATGACTTTTTTGATAACGGCGTTTTTTTCCCATGATTTCAGCTGGCGGTCTGCAATTCATGAACTTCTCAATTTTTTTCTTCGGGTCCATCTTGTTGTTACGCGAAATGATTAAACATCTAAGGTCCAGGAAGAACTATATCAAATACTTGGTTAGCATTTCTAGATTGAAAATGTAAACGTATAGGCTATGTAAATGTATAAGCTAAAGAAGACATACACAAACTTGAATAATCAACTAAAGAAAAAGAGTTAATACTTGTACAGAATAAGACCAGTTGCCAAATTGAATTCCAATCTGTCTCAGAGTACAAACAATATTGGAGTCTGCAGACGTCACCTTACTAGTATGATGGTATGGCCGAGCTATATCTTGCAAGAAAACATTCTATGATTAGTCTAATCGAATTAAAGGGAAGAAGGATGCACACCATCCTATGCCATCCGCCAAGCAGGCAAATCCGCGAGGTGAAAACCCCCTATAACTCTCTGGAATTACCTTGTCAACCATGCCCGTACTCCACACCCGTATCTTTTTTCCCCTCCTATCGCTACGATACATGGTAACAACCCCCAATTAGCCACCAGCGCAGCACCACACAGCACAAAACTGTATGCCGCCGGAAGGAAATCGTCCCAAGGGCTTCCGGAAGAACAGCCTTATCTTAAGGCGAGACATGACATGTCACTTTTTTTGTACACTCGGAACCACACGGGTATGCGAGGGGGGATGGAAAAGGTATCGGTACTGACATGGGGACGTCCCAACTTTCCTAATTAGGTACCGCATCAACGATATTCCGACACATTGGGGTAGTCATCATCATCACCATTTGTTTGTCTCCAAATTGCAGCTATCGTCCTGGTAGTCAGTACTCTGCACTCGTCGCGGGCGCACCGGGGGGGGGGTGCATCCGGGAACCCCTACGGGTACTGTAGTACTCTGCTCTCGAATCCCTTCTTCATTGCCAGCCCCCCGGGCGTTGTCCTACGAGGGGTCTCCCGATCACATGTTGGCATCCCCGGAAGATCACTGACATACCGTAATCCGCACGAATAACCCTTCTCTCGGTCTGTGAATAAGTAATCCCGTGGCGAATCATCGACGGCGAGAGGTCAAGGGACAGAGCGGATCACTGGCCGATGGAGAAACCATTCAGCCGCTTTTTGTGTGACGGTGCGGATTAAGCTGAAGTTTCTCTGATCGAGATGATGACTACATGAATGGGAACTGGCTCGACGAATTGGTGTTGAGTTTGTGCGCCTCTCTTCTCACCGCAATCTTCTGGTGAAGCATTCGGCGATAGAGATAGGGATTGAGACTATACGTGGCGCTGTTTTGGGCCGGGCTATGATAATCCTTTCCAACAACGTCTACGGCTCTACAAGTGCCTGGATCCCGCTAGAGCTTACCTGCAGGCTGGGGTCAGATGGTGTCCCTTGTTGAGGGCATTTTTCGGCAAGGGGTAAACGTTTTTGGCAGTGATATATTGAGGGGTGGTTGGGATTGGCGGGGGTGACGACCTGGCGGCGGGGGGAGGTCTTATAAGAAAGTATGACTGCGGGGTATGGTGAGATTTTACGTATCATATTTTGAAAGATAGCTGATGGAAGATGCTCTGCTGGAGTAGTATTAGCCTTGGCGAGAGGTACTATATAAGCCGCTATTCCAACGCGGCTTCGGTGATGTGGTTTCTTCGGACCATAGTCTTTGCAACTATGGCTGCCACTTCCGTAAACACTGCCACTTGCGCTGATGAGAAACGTAGCTACCATCCCTCCCCAATTCTGACAATCAATACTGATCACTAACCTGACCCCATCAGCAATTCCGGCTACCTTCGGCATCCTCTTATACCCGGGCTTCCAAGCTCTGGATGTCTTCGGCCCCATCGATGTCCTAAACACCCTCGCCTTCTCGGAGAAGCTAAATCTCCACATAATCGCCGAAACCCTCGATCCCGTGTCAACAAAGGTACCCATAACCAACACCACAGGCTCGGAATTCAGCGAGAGCATTGTGCCAACCCACACCTTCGCCACGGTCCCCCCCCTCGACTTCCTCCTCGTCCCGGGCGGCCTGGGCTCCCGTGCGCCGGGCCTGGAGTCCACCCGCGAATTCGTCAAGAACATATACCCGTCGCTAAAGTACCTCATGACCGTGTGCACAGGGTCGGCGCTAATTGCGCCGACGGGCCTACTCGATGGCCGCAGCGCGACGGGGAATAAAAAGTTGTGGGCGTGGGTGACGAGTCAGGGGCCGAAGGTGAATTGGGTGGCGCAGGCGAGGTGGGTGGTCGACGGGAACATATGGACATCCTCGGGGATCGCCGCGGGGATGGACGCCATGTACGCTTTTGTCGGTTACATTTGGGGCGAGGAACAGTCAAAGGAGTTGGCCATGACGTTGGAGTATGAGAGGCACACCGACTCTCATTGGGATCCGTTTGCCGATTATTGGGGCGCGACGTGGCCGCTGACACCCGGGGCCGGCGGTGGAGATGGTGGTAACAGTGGCAGTGATTAGGGTTAGGGGTGTGGTTTGTTTGGGATGGAATTTGTTATAATTATTTGCCCAACGTCTAGGGGGTGAGAATCGATATTCAGTTTAACGAGTATTCACCCATGGTCACCATCATGGTATCATAGCGGTGAAAATTGTCGACGTTTTAGTCGGGCATCACGATCACTTGCTACTAACGTGAACTCGAAGCATTATTAGACAACTCTTAATGTCACCCTCCGCGATGAGAGCAGGATGGACAGGTAAGACACATCCATTCGAAAGATTAGAAATCTAACAGGGGGGGGGCAATAACGAAAATCATTTCTCTACCGAGGATCATATCAGATTCACAAATATGTTATATATATCCTAACCTATGATACCAACTGGAAGATTGGGCAGTACCTGCCAATTGGTGCTCCAGCTACCGTACGATAAATCCGCCCGTTTTTTTGCCCCCCCCACCTCAAAGGCTAAAACCAGAAACCAGCGTTTACCCTCCTCCCACAAAACGACCGCACGCGATGCATAAACCTTTAAGTGTTCAACGTCCGAAATCTAGATATCCCCTCCCCCAGGAGAACTGGAAACCAAAGTGAACTAGAAAAATCAAACACACGCCTCAACAGCCAGCCAAACCATCAGTATACCCCCGAAATTCCTATCCCCCCGTCAATATATATATCCCCCGACGCCACGAGATATCATGCCAATACTATACCCCACTCTAAACTATGATACCCATAATTTTCACTGCTAGCTATCACATCATATGATACTATATCATACCACTATCCAACCCCACTACACAATGGGGCACGTCTTATCAGTTCAGTAGTTAAAAAAATCTTAGGGGATGTTTGGTTCGAGAAGTTGATCGATTGAAAACACTTTTTGCCAAACACCTCTTGAATTAATGTTTCCCAAAACGCATTTTGTAAAATTAATGACAAGTTCATGTAAATATATAGAATTTATAACTTGTAACCCTCTCTATTCTGTATATAATTAATTTACAAAATAGTTTTATATCCACTACAAACTGTTTACAAAAAATTTTTCTCCCTTTTTGAAAATACACAATATCTTCTCCTAACTCAACAAGCATCTCTCTTCAATTATGGATGACATTATACCAGAGATATCAGTAACAATTTAAATTAGCACAATTGTGCTACAGACTATCGCTGCACTCAGTACCTTACAAGCCAAGATATGCAAGCAGTAACTTTTGAAAACCCCTATACTAAAGCATACCTCAATGCTCAGCAGTCAAAGCTATGACCAAATTATATTTTAGATAGTATGAGAGCAGATATTCGTTAATAAGAATGATGAGTAATAATTGTCATTATTCTAATATAATTAACATATTAACATAGGTTGCCCTATATTAAGTTACAGTTTCCAAAAATATGCTTTGCAAAACATGGTTTGTAAAACGTGTTTTCAATTAATAGTGAGCCAAACACTACCATCAATTGAAAATGCGCTTTGGGCCTAAAACACATTTTCAATTTACGAACTGCTTGAGCCAAACATCCCCTTAACTCTATGGGAGTCAGAATTAGGTTTGGTTTTCAGGGGGAATAGCAGTCCAGCAATCAAATTTATGATACTTGAGTATAGTACAGTAGTAGATCACGCTCACAGCATGGAATGTTATGGGAGGGGGGGGGTGTTCAGGAGTGGGCGAATAAATTAGATGGGTTTTGGATGGCTTCTCGCGCGTCGTTGCGTCGTGATTGCGCTGGTGTTTAACTAAATGCTTGTCTTGGATACTTTTAAGCTGTCATAAGGTGTGGTGCAGCACGGTTGCCTTTCTCTCTTTTGGGGGTTTGGAATTTTGTTGTTCATGATGCGGTTGCTGACCCCCACTTGGGGATAATTCAAGTCTGGTTATTCATCACGATAGTGCCTAAACTCATCATTGACTAATTTATGATGGACGCTTGAAGGGGAAAAGGTTTAATGGTAAAAATTGACCCATCACCCAAATCAACTACCTAGCAGGAAAAAAAAAAAAGAGCCCCCGGACGGGGCACGAGACGGAACTTTAATCATAGCTTCATGATCTTGACACCTTCGCACTCGCTCCCTCCAATACACCGAACCGAGAAAAGGAAAAAGGTAAGAAGAAAAGAAAAAGAGAACAAGAGAAACACCGCCTAGCAAATTCACACACCCAGAGCTGCCCGAACAGCAGAAGCCACAGCCTCCCTATCCCCCTCGGAGTAGAGACTCCCAACCACCTCCTTAGCCTTCGAAACCATAAAGTCCCACTCCTCCGACAACTCCGGGAACTTCGTCTCCAGCGCAACGATAACCGCCATCGTCGCGACAAGGTCCGCATCTGCGTGCGCCCCTTCCAACCCGTGGTCCTGCAAGCCCAGCCAAGCGAATATCCTCCAGTCCGACTTGAACATCCCGTTGAATTGCTGGAGGGTGGCGAGGTCGGAGGCCAGGTTTTGTGGTCCCCTTGGCGCCGACTCCGGTCTACCCCGGAGCTTGCGTTTAGGGGCGGGCTCGGGCGGCTCAAACTCGTCACTGTCCGGGAGGGGTACCGGCGGGCTGGAAAGTTGGAATGCACGTCGTCGGGGGCTAAATGCTGGAGATTGGTCGGAGGCTGGAGCTGTGAGCGAGCGCGCGCGGAGATTCCATGGTGAAGGGGAAGATGGACCTCCAAAGAGTGCGCCCGACTCAGCGGATGATCCCCCGGTACTCTTCCGCTGCATTGCCACCTGCGCCTGTTGCATCTGTTGCTGTTGTTGTGGGGGATGCACCTGGGGAATTGCTCGAAATCTAGTTGAGATGGATTTACGTTTTGCCTTCATGCTACCCCTGCGACCCGATCCTGAGGACTCGGCTTCCTGGATGAAACAAAATACATTTCGAGAGCCGGTGGTTTGTTCCCCCCCGGCAAGCGCGCTCGCACCCTCCCCCATTTGTTGACTTGCATGCTGTTCCCTGGTTGGTTCGTCCTCCGCAACCGCCACAAAAGAGGTCCACTTGCTAGCCAGCCCGAATTCAACACCGACTCTGGCTCCTTCTTTCGCAATGAGCTCTGCGTGCTTTGTTGGCTCTTTCGTCCCATCGTAGATTCCCTCTAGGTATGAAAGTCTGCCTTCCTCGAGGTCTTGGAGGAGCTTCCGTCCGGCTAGTTGGTACAGGCCGAGTGATGCCCCTGCGGAAGTGACAGCTTGCACGGGAATCTCGATTTGAAGTGGGCAGATGGCGTTCGAGCTGGTATCGTGCGCGGAACCCTTGAGGAATACCTTTTCCGGTCGATCACCGTTGGATATCAAAAAGTAGATGGTTGCCCGGGAGTATGGGAAGAGTGCGGGGACAGCTGTGGGCGCTTGGATGACATTTGGTAGTGTGAGATTGGGTGAACTACTAGATGGAGCGCTAGGAGCACTATCTGGGTCACAGCTTGGGTCAAAGAGGGAAATCGGAGCGGCTGTGCTGGGGGCAGGGGTGGCCAGAGTCGCACGCTGCTTTTCAGGCTTTCCCGCCCAATCTATGTCCCAGTCGTTGACGTGAGGTGTCAATGCTGCCTTCAACATGCGCATGACCTTCTTCTGGAGATTACTAGTGGTGCTGACAATCTGCGAGTACCCCCTTCCAGCTCGGGAGATTCCCTCCACGAGACTATGCGACACTGCATCCCCAACACCGAGTGAGAAGAAACGAACATTCCCATCCCTGGAGGACTCGTTGATGAATCCAAACAACCTTTCCGTATCCCAGACCTCTCCATCCGTGAGGAGGAGGACTTCCGTCCTCATATCCGGTCGCCGCTTCTTCATAGAGTCCATCATAGGGGCAAGTATTTCCGTTCCACCCATGTTGGAATCCAACCGCATGGCATGTGCCTTCGCCACGTTCAGTGACTCCTCCGAATATTTTTTGGATTGCGGCCAAAGGAATGAGCGGTTCGATCCGAAGGAGCAGATATTGAAGTACGAGCCTACTGGCAATGAGGCCAGGAAAAGTTGGAGAGCAGATCGGACGGTGGCAATCTTATCGTGCATCGACCCTGAGCGGTCAACAACGAATATGATCTCATGAGCCTGCGGGGGAAGGACGAATTTGGGAACCATGGTGATCATAAGCGCGGACGTATCCCGGAGGGTCGGATGAGGAGCGAGGAATGCTCTTGGGTCGCCAGTATTGTTGGCATTGATGAGGAGGGAGAAATCCTTGTCGAGACCCGTCAGGGACGGCGAGGCAAGAGCGAGGGTTGCATGCGCCTTCCTGGGATTGAAGTCTGTGTCGTCAGTACTAGAATGGGAGCCAAGGCCGATGGAAATGGGGTGACTGGGTGAAGTGATTCTCCTTATCATCCCACTCATGGTTGCGGTGACGGAGAGGGAAAGGCCGGCATCCTCGGCGCTGCCAATATCCCGTATACCCCGCGAGAAGGTGCCCCAAAAAGCGCGCCACCGATCACCGAAAACCAAGGGCGTGGTGGCGGGCGCGTTTCCGTACTTTGGAGCAATGACGGTGGGAATGACGAGTCTAATTCCATCGACGTCAATGTCCTGCTTCAATTCGTGCACGTACTTGATGACCACCACCACCGAACCGCCGGCCGGGATGTTTCCGACGCTGGTGGTAAAGACCTCACTGGTATCCTGGGTGAACAAAGCGGTGACCTTCCCGGCGGATTTAGCAGCTTGGTAGATGGCTTCCGCCTCTGCCTTCTCCTGAACCACTCCCTTGATCGTCTTCTCCCCAACCAGGGCCTGGAAATCCGTGACAGCGGAAGATTCGTAGAGGGGGAATGTGTACCGGGCTTCAGCGATATCCTTGGTCGACGAATTGTTATACACCTGTGTGAGGGTATGCGAGGCGGTGAGATCCACGACGTGAGACTTTAGCGTAGTTGAAATGAGCGGAAGGCATTGCTGGTAGCCATTCTCGACGTAAACAACTCTAGTGACCATGATGACGATCCGTGTGGTGTTGAGAATGTGTTTGTTTGAAGGATGGAGAATTTACGAAGGGAGGGGGATTTAAGGGGGGGGGGTTCTTGCGGGGGGTTCTTTTGGAGCTTAATATGACCAAGAGGCAGAATAATTAATTAGGGCGAATTGTTTTCATTGTGAGTCAAGCGCATGAAGGAGTTTGGGCGCGGAAGGCAGCATGCCCGTGATTTTCTAACGTTTGCGGATGCAGCTGCCATTGCATAATTATGACCAAGGAAATTGCCCGGGCCCTCAAGGTTCTGATGGTAGTCTAGTCTATGGCACAGCATGTCTCAATCTGACGCTGGTCGCCTCAAGGCAGATACCAGTATAGACAAGGGTGGGAGATGTCTGCTAGCCAGAAGCTTTGTGGATTGGAGGTTGAAGCCAATTGATTGACACAGAGGATCAATGGGGGCTGTGTGGAAGGGATCGACAGAGCTTGGCTGCGGGCAAAGAGTCAACCAAATTCCTTGGCGCCCGTGATTATTGGGGAACGGGTAGTGGGTAACGGTTTTGAGACAAGCGAGAAGAACTGGGGACCTTAGTGTCAGGTATTGGTTCTAGCCAGAGCGCGAACATTCAATTAGTCACCGGTACTTGTGAGTTACTCAACGGGTGCCTGGAGAGCACAGCTACCGTACTTCTTTGATATATGTACAGTGCCGGTACCGGTACGAGTGCTTGCATCCCTCGACCACCGGTGCATCCGACCAACGTCAACTACGGAGTCACAACTCCGCCCTCGCGCCATTCAAGGAAACCTGATAGTTAAGTTACCAGCTAATGATTTCCTATTATTTTTTTATGATTGTGTTTTCTTACTTAGAAGTTGAGGTATTATTTTCTTGGTTATGGGAGAAAGGTTGTGTTTTTGCGCTGGCATAAAAAAACTTGGATGGGTACAGTAAGTTACTATGACTATGATAAAATATTATTATAAATTATTATATAATATTATCATATCTTTCCCCGCGCCATCCTTTGATCCCTGAACCCTGTACTTTCACGTACCGGTATCATGCTGTACTTTACCTGTGAGTCTGGGGCTTGTCACGGTGGCCTTGCAATTGAGAGCCTTATCTTATCTCCTCAAGGCTTGCAGGGTTAGGTTTCCCTGAATATTTGTCAATCATGCTCAACTGCCCAGCTCTCGTGTGAAGTGATTCACAGCTTTTGACCATGGGAGCGGTTTGGGCCCAGCACTCGAGTGCCGGTACACCTTATCCTGAGCGATGATGCGGTATGTGGTAGGTAGGCTACGGTTATTCGCTGTGTGGGTCCCAGGTTCTGATACGATAAGCTTGTGCTGCACCAGTATGATATGGTACGGTACTGTACTTGTACCATTAAATTTGGGAAGCTGGTGGGTCGGTTTGGCGATGGTGAGATAGTTGAGGCGTGTAACATCGTACAAGTACTCGAGTGTGATATTAGCATATTGGAATTTTTACTGTACTACTGGTAGTGTTTGTTTGTTCGCCATCGTGGATGATATGGCGCTTTGACTGTCGGCCCATGTGCCCGCAATGTTGTCTCAATATACGTACTGTATTAACTTCTGTTTTTCCGGTGCTGTGCCGTGCTGTACTGTACTTGTACAATACAGTACAGTACCTTTGCATGTCGCTAACGGATCCTTCTGACCGAAAAGTGGTTACCTTTTCGGCCTGTCTGCGCGTGCGTTCGTGGCGACTAGACCTGCCCTCCCCCTTACCCGTCGTTCATGTACAGCACTCGAGTACTTGTATACCGGTATTGATAGTGTTGGATTGTCTTTATGGACGCATTATACTCTTGATGGTTAAACTACGGATTATGGAGATCGGGCCCCTTGCAAGTACGATACTGACCATCATGAGCAAGCGCGCATTCCTCAACCCTACCCTCGGCTTGTGATTGGTGTGATGCAATTAGACTCCATGGCGGCGCGCTAATATTAACCAAGCGTGGACAACGCCCAAAGCCTCGCCCAGCAGGATGGGGGGGGTAGCTGGGTGGAACGCCATCAAGCCATAATTTAACGTTAGTATCCGCCGATTTGCGCATGATCTAACGGGACATTTCGTACCTCCGCTAACTGGCATATATATATACCTTTGTACAATTTTCCCGTTGTTTGGTACCCATAATAGCTAAAAGAATTGTTTTTTCACCCCCGGTCCCCACTAGACTGTCATAGGCTGTCAAAACAAATCCTTCAGTGGGTGGCCAAGAAGTTACGGCTAGGATTTTCATAGGCTGTTAAAAGAAATAAGTTATAGTTCTCCTGGGAGTCGGGGGAACGGGATAATATACCATTCTACTCGTACCCGTCTACCGTGGCCGAAACATCCGGACCTGGCAATGACTTGTGCACCGGGAAAACCCAAATCGCCCTCCGCGACCTCACACAGATACCGCCTGTCCCCCCTCCCCTCCCCACGGATGTAAGCTTCTCAAATCCAGCAAAGACTATCCCCGGGGAAGCAGCTAGAAAAATCCTTCCCTGCAACGAAGAAGTTCGCGGGGAGAGAGTATTTATTGAAGGTTCTAGATCGATGTTAGTTGATTGAGATAGATTGTGGAGCTTTCGGGAGTCTGGCGGAGAGTTCAGAGGTTCAATGGATTGGTGTGAAGGTTTAGAGATTGACAGGAGATTCGCTGGACATGTCTTTCCTTTGTTATCACGGGAGTATATGGAGGAAAGGGTAACATGCTTGGAGAGATATGGATAGGTGTGGTGACTCATGGAATAGTCAGGATACATTGTTTATGTTTTACTTATACACCTGTCTTTACCGTTAGTTTGGAGAAGTAATGAAAGAAGTTGTTTTTCCTTACCTTACGCTCTTGTGCATGTCCTACCACAGTTGCCATATAGTCCTTTAGTTTCTCTCTATCGCTGCGCGAGTTAATCATTGACTGATATACCCATTCACGAGAGTATTGAGAGGCTCTGAAGAGCGTCAATAATCTCGCTACCCTTCGGCCCTGCCCGCCCAGGGAACAGGTTGAAGCGCGCCGCCGCCCGGGAATTGTGTGGCCGGAAAAAAGTCCTTGGGCAAGCTCACCGGTATACCTGAGTCCGCATGATCCGATAGTCTTCCTCCAGTGACCATATGGATTCTCCAAAGCAGAGGACATCCTCCGCTGATTGAGTTAGTCGATACTCGGGAAATTTCTTGGGGCAACAATGCGGAGGCTATCTCCTTTGTACCACCAGAGTTAATTAAGCTCCGGCAAGCATAGAAAGGTTCCCTGAGGTAGAAGAGCTAGCGAAACGTGGGTTGGAGTGCAAAGAGTAGTCTCTGTGATGGCTATGCGGATGCGTTCACACAAGTTGTTCAGACTAGGAAGGAAAAAACCGACGGATAACCGAATAAGAATCTCTGCACGCCACCCTGCTCCACCTCCCCAGTGGCACCCCGCCCCACGTTCCCCCAGAGCTTCAGTTTAAGCCTTGTGTCTAACAATTCCCTAATCCCTGCGGGTTGGTGATCCTAAATGCGGTTGTTATTAGGAAACCTAATACATCAGTACTTCCTATTGAAGTATTGTCCGGGGACAAAATTAACTAGCTGTCAACGGCCGGAAAATCTTCGGTGATGACAACCACACTCCCCCACCAACCCACTATCATGAAAACCCAAAAGAAAATTAAAAAATATAAATACATAGTAGAAATTAATATTTAGTATACCGTCCATCAGCCTTAATAATTGCTTCCATCCTATCCACCATTGATCCTGCCAAAGTATCAAAAACCTTTGGGTCCAGAAGTTCCCAACAATGAGTGATAGCCTCCTCTATAATTTTTTTGATCTCATTGACAGGGCCCTTCAGGAGAAACAGCTCAGGATAGTGCTTATGAAGCTTGTCTTTCACCAGAGACCAAACATTTTCAATTGGATTAAGGTCTGGTGAATAGGGAGGAATTTCCATCAGAGAAATTCCATTTCTCCTGAGCCATCTCCTGAAAGGCAAGTGAGTCTTAGCATTGTCAATGATCAAAAATACCTTTTCCTCCCCAACATGCTCCTTGATATCCTCCCATATCCCTGGAAAGTTATATTGATCATAAACATCAATAATTGACTTTCCAGTCACTCCACCTCCAGCAGAAGTAGGATCAGGAAAAACAGGTAAAAAAAGACCATGAGTTTGACCATAGAAACAACCAGTCATCATCTGACTAATCTTTCTCTCTCCTTTCCTAGCAGTAGGTTCAACACAATCCTTATTCCACTTTTCTTTTGGACATCTAAATACCCATTTTCTTCTCCTTCCTCTTCCCCTCTCCACAGCTACCTCATCCCACCACATTGCCTTCCTTCTCCACATCTGCCTTGTCCAATTCCTATGGGCTAATACCCATTCCAATCTCTTTTGAGCTAGATCCTCATCCAAATGAACCCTCTCTTGTGCCATCCACTTTTTAAGATGCTTTTGTGCAAGTCTTCTCTTCACAGTCTTAGCAGAAATATTGGGAACCACTCTCTCAGCAATCTCAGAGTAGCTGGTATGGCGATTTTTGAGAGCTTCCTCTACCATAGTATCATCCTGCAACTTGGTAGTTTTAGGATGTCTTCCTCTACCTTCATTCTCCTTGCCCTCTTGATCTCTCTTTGCAAATGTGCTTTTAACAGTACTGAGAGGAATGTCAAAGTAGTGGGAAATTTGGTGATTTGTCATCTGAGGCTCGCATAACCCAAGAATTCATCCCCTTGTAAACTCAGAAAGGTGCTTGGAGGGAATAGGCTGTTTGGCATGACTGCGAAGAATAGGAGGCATAGTTTATTGAAAAAAAGAATTAAGTAAATTGGTTTGGTTTTGGCTGGTGTAGAGCAATTTCTTTAGGAAGTGTTGAGGGAGCGGGGCGATGAGGAGGGGAGCGTTGCCATTGCCGTTGAGAGCTAGTTAATTTTGTCCCCGGACAATACCACATGCGCTCCTATGGCAAAAGACACCATTGCCTGACATAAAATTCCATAGCGCGAGATGCGATTTTCTAGTGTTGCACCTTATAACTGCAATCCACAATACGG